CCTTCCTTCCTTCCTTCCTTCCTTCCTTCCTTCCTTCCTTCCTTCCTCCTTCCCTCCCTCCCTCCCTCCCTCCCCTCCCCTTCCTTGCAAGTGGTTACATTGTAGTATTGGGCTAATTCTGCCCACTGCCAGCAGTTTGATCCTGACTGGCTCAAGGTTGACTGAGTCCTTCCTTCCTTCCTTCCTTCCTTCCTTCCTTCCTTCCTTCCTTCCTTCCTTCCCTCCCTCCCTCCCTTCCTTCCTTCCTTCTTTCCCTCCCAGTGATTAAAATGCAGTATTGCAGGCTAATTTCAGCTCACTGCCAGGAGTTCGATCCTGACCGGTTCAAAGTTGACTCAGCCTTCCATCCTTCCGAGGTCAGTAAAATGAGGACCCAGATTGTTGGGGACAATATGCTGACTCTGTAAACCGCTTAGAGAGGGCTGTGAAGCACTGTGAAGCGGTATATAAGTCTAAGTGCTATTGCTAACCGTGGCAAAAAAAATGATTGTAAAATTGGGTACAACTCACTTAATAACCATTTAGCTTAGCAACAGAAACTTTGATTCCAACTGTGGTTCCAAGTCATGGATTACCTGTATATATTAATTGATGGATGATCACTTCATCATGTGAATAAACTCCTGCCTTTTAATATCTATTTAAGTGGCTTTTCTTGCAACAGGAATTCCACACCTTTGTTGCGTGGTGAAAACATACGTTGCTCGTATTCCAATTCTATGCTCAGCACTTAAATGGAGTACCTGCTTCTAAATTCTAAGCAAACAGGGGTGGGGTCTTCCTTTATTTATCCTCTCCGAAACTTCAATTGCCTGTCGTCTCCCCAGGAACCTTTTCTAACTGTTGGAATCTAAGTAAATGGTTCTATTGTTTAATTGACCATCTGCTCCTTGGATTTTGGCTTCTCTCCAGATTCCCTGGATGCAGCCTTGATGCTAGGCACCTTGGCATTAAGCATTCTCACCAAACAAGGTTTTAAATTAGGTTGATGTGGCAAGGAAATAGTTTTTCTTCCCTTTAGTTATGCAATATGAATTTTAACTCAGTCCCGGAAAAAAAATGAATGCTTTGGAAAACCAAGCCAGAATGGTTTTGTTCTTTAAAAATAATTTATTTGGCTTGACATGGGGGGCGGGGGGGTGGGTAACAGGAGCTCTTTTGCAGTCAAAGTCCAGAACCGAAGACTGTTGCATTGAAAATAATTTGAGGGACAAAGCCAGAAGGCATAAACAACAACATGAGCCGTGGTGGTGCAGAGGTTAGAGTGCAGTACTGCAGGCTACTTCTGCCGACAATTTGGCAGTTCAAATCTCACCAGGCTAAAGATGGACTCAGCCTTCCATCCTTCTGAGGTTGATAAAATGAGAACCCAGTTTGTTGGGGGCAATAGGCTGACTCTGTAAATCATTTAGAGAGGGCTGTAAAGTGGTATATAAGTCTAAGTGCTATTGCTAAGTAGATGGAAATGTCAGCTCAGAGGTTCAGCTCTAAGCCCAGATGTGAGTAATTTATTCTCTTTGGGTTTCAAGAGTTGAATGAAAATGGTGACGTAAAATGGATATTTCCATTTATGTTTCCCATTGTATGAAGGAAATGGAGAAATATGTACCGTATTTTTTGGAATATAAGATGCACTTTGCCCCCCACTAAAAGAGGGTGAAAATTTGGGTGCGTCTTATACACAGAATATAGCCCCGCCTACCCACCGGCCCCCACCCTTTGGCCTCTGCCTCCCAGCAATTTGCCTCCTTGCAGCAAACAGCCCATTTCAAGTTTCAGCTTCAGCAAAACCTGATTAGCACAAGCAGCTGATTGTTGGTGGATTGGTCTCCCGACCATCAGCTGTTTCATACGGAAACCACACTTGGAATACTGCCTCCAGTTTTGGTCACCACGATGTAAAAAAAGATGTTGAGACCCTGGAAAGAGTGCAGAGAAGAGCAACAAAGATCATGGGGGAGAACTAGAGACTAAAACATGAAGAACGGTTGCAGGAACTGGGCATGGCTAGTCTAGTGAAGAGAAGGACCAGAGGAGACATGATAGAAGTGTTCCAATATATAAGGGGCTGCCACAAAGAAGGAGTCAAAGCTATTCTCCAAAGCCCCTGAAGACTGGACAAGAAGCAATGGGTGGAAACTAATCAAGGAGAGAAGCAACTTAGAATTAAGGAGAAATTTTTCTGACAGTGAGAACAATTATCCAGTGAAATGGCTTGCCTTCAGAAGTTGTGGGTGCTCCATTGCTGGAGGTTTTTAACAGAGGCACAGATACAGATTAACAGAATTGGAAGAGACCTTGTAAATTCATCTAGTCCAACCCTCCGCCCAGGTAGGAGACCCTACACCATTGCTGACAGATGGCAGTCCAGTCTCTCCTTGAAAGCTTCCAGTGATGAAGCTCCCACAACTTCTGAAGGCAACTTCTATTCCATGGGTTGATTGCTCTCACTGTCAGAAAAGTTCTCTCTATTTCCAGAATCTCTCCTTGTTCAGTTTCCATCCATTATTCCTTGTCTGGCCTTCGGGTGCCTTGGAAAATAACTTGACCCTCTCCTCTCTGTGACAGCCTCTCAAATATTGGAAGACTGCTATCATGTCTCCCGTGGTCCTTCTCTTCACTAGACTAGCTATGCTCAGTTCCTGCATCCGTTCATTGTATGTTTTAGCCTCCAGTCCCCTAATCATCTTGGTTGCTCTTCTCTGCATTCTTCCTAGAGTCTCAACATCTTTTTTTATAGTGTGGTGATCAAAACTGGAGATTGGAGAACCATTTGTCTGAAATGGTATAGGGTTTCCTGCCTGAGCAGGGGGTTGGACTAGAAGACCTCCAAGGTCCTTTCCAACTCTGTTATTCTATTCTATTAGTAGGAAAAGAAGGAGCAGAAGAATAGGTAGCAGTTGAAAAGAACTTGGTGCCCCTCGTACAGCTTTAGATTTTAGCCTTTGCAAGGTGCTAATGAGGAACAAGGCTTTGAAGTAATTCAAGTGGCTGTTAAGTCAGCTCTGTTTCAAAATAATTTTGCCCCTGCTCAAATTAACCCCACTCTGATGTTTTATAGGAGCAGATTAATAACTGCAAAAGAAACTCCATGTTTTCCAACCATGAGCATCTACTCCTATTTGAAGGCATGGGTCTAAGGCAGGGGTGAAATGCTCCCGGTTCGAACTGGATCGCCTGATCCAGTAGTGATTGAGGCGGGTGG